AGAAGAAGAAGAAGAAGAAGAAGAAGAAGAAGAAGAAGAAGAAGAAGAAGGAAGAAGAAGAAGGGGGTTGGGGCTCTCGTTGACTTGGTTTTAGGGTGTTGCCCTCTCATTCAGTGGGTCCCGGGTTTGAATCCGGATTGCAACGAAACTTTTTATTCTCTAAAAATATTTTCCTTTCTCTAACAATGATCTGAGGTTTGCTTTCGTCTTCACTTTCTGCCCCCACCCCCACAGTTCCTTTGCCCCCTCCTCTGGGCTCCTGACTCTTTGTGCAGCATTCATACTGCCACTTCTTGCTCTTTCTTACTGCTGTCTTTCAGCAACACTCCTGTTCTTATTGTAGGTGAGATATAACACCTAGCCTTCTCGGATAAAGGCGAACATTCTCAGAGGTCCCGTAAGCAAGTTGCGCATGTTGAAGAACCCTTTTTGATCCAAAATCGATAAGAGTACTACCAACTGAAAATGTTTGATAAGTCCCGCGGGCTCATATGGCCTTATGCAGTTGCGAGCGCCGTAAAACACTTACCCTAAAAAAAAGTTCACTCGTAAATGTGCCGCGGCACGGTGGAATCACGAGCTGATCATTTTCGAGGCACATTTTGGAGTTTTTGATATTATCATGTTCATCTGCCTTGCTTTACAGGAAAAAATACCCATATATCCTGAACAGAAGTTGTTATTTTTTAGGAGGTGTCGCCTGGTGTCAAGGGTAAAATAAGCGATAAAATGGCCGCTAAAAGTTGCTGACTTCCAAAGCTTTAGTCTCCTTAGAAGCTTCAAATTTACATTTTTTATGCCTTTGGTCAACGTTCTTCATTCAGTAAAATTCATACAGAGATGTGTTTTTAAAAAGGTGTTGTGAGAAGAAAAAAGATCTATGAAAAGTGCGCAATGAACGAGAATATGTCAGTTCTCTGATTTCAGTATTTTAACGAAAGCCTGGTTTCACTACGATGTCCCACAAAATGTTTATGAGCTATAACACCCTACTTCGACAAAGAAAGGTCGCCTAAGATTGTTGATTACCTATTTCCGAAAAAAGCAAGCTGAGAGGATGGAATACCATGACAACTTCAAAAGCAAAAAAACAAAACAACCCAAAGTAATAGCATGAAGTCAGATTTGCGACTCCAAAAGTCCCGTGAATCCCTCCCCACCTCACCCTCAAATTCCCAATCCCCAAAAACCTAAACTGCAGTCATGAATAATACCTTGCAGCATACCTGCTAAAACAATTTCAATGTCCACAGTGTTTAATGTCACCAATTATAACAGTACTCTATAAATATTTCTTTGCAATTAATGTTCCAAGAGTTTGCATTTTTATAGAGCTGTGCAGCACGTTACTTCCCCGGGATTCCCTTTGTTTAAACATTATCGCCAAATAAGGTTTCTCAGATCACGGTAACGGAGGTAAATGCTGCATCCATCAGCTTCTTTTTAAGTACTCCTGCCATTCTTTGGGTGCTCAGCGCGCGCGCGCATGT